GTTTTGCATACAGCAACCAAGGTTTTCTTTCTCTTCTTGAACAGTATTCATTAAGACTAGAGACCCCTCCCACATATAAAATTTGAACGCCCTCAAAAATGCATCACTGTAGTGAAGTTCCTGTAATTCTTATATAACTTATTCCAAAAAACCTTTATTCTCTAAATTGTTCAAAATCCCCCCCTTTTTTTACTAATTGCAAAAATCTTTAGTCTTAGTACACAGGAAGATAACTTTTCTTCTCATGTTTCTCTGTTCTATATGCCTCTTTTTAAGTGTTAGATGGACAGCTTGAGACAGCTGGGTGGACAGCTTTGGGTCACATATGATCTCTGCAGCTGGAATCTTAACTTTCTATTCATTTCTATGACTTTTTCCTGGTAGTCTCAGCCCTGAAGTGGCATGTTATAAATAGCACAAAACTCCTCTTTCCAGTTCCTGGTTGCTATCTTGCTGGAATGACCTGTGGTTTTTTATTTTTTTATTTTATTTTATTTTAATTTTTGGGTCTCACCATGTAGTTGAGACTGAACTGGAACTCACTATGTAGCCCAGGCTGGTCTCGAACTCACAGTGATCCTCCTGCCTCAGCCTCGTTAGTGGTAGGATTACAGGCTTGCGCCACCACGCCCAGCCTGCCTGTGGTTTTTGAATAGACTGCTGATACTAGACACGCCAATGCATACACAGTAGCAGTCAACAAAACAAGTCTCTAAGAGGTCTGCATGGAGTATTAGTTACCTTTTTGTTGCTGAGACAAAATATCTGATACCTGCAACCTAACAGAAGGAAAGGTTCATTCAGGATCATAGCGTTTGAGATTTTGGTCTGTGGAGGGTTGGCTCCAAGGCACAGGCATCATGGCAGAAGGGCCTGGTGAAGAGTTGCTCACATCATGACATCCAGGAAGCAGACAGAAAAAGCCAGAGAGGAAGGGGCAGCACCAGCAGATACAGTCCTCTAGGTCATGACCTACCCAGACACACCCACAAGTGTGGTTTATTAATCCCCTGCCCCCCCCTTTGTACTGGAAATTGACCTCAGGACGTAATGCTTGTGAGGCAGGTGGTGGAACCACTGAGCCAAATCCCTGGCTCCCTAGGCTTCTCTTAAACTCATAAAGATGACAATCAAGATTAAGCATCAGAACTCAGTAGATGGGACATGAGTGGAGCTTTGAATCAGTCCCCAGAAGGTAGACTGAATCTCCCGGCTCCTTACAGTACAGTTTCCATTGAAAGTCTCTTGATGCTAGATTGAGTACCTCTTCCAAAGTCCTTACTCTTACATTGTTCCTTAACCATTCCAGTGAACTGAAAAACAGGTCTCTGGAAGGAAGTTCAGTCTTAGAGTGGGTCCACACCAATGAGGGTTTATCTCTGTTTGCTCAGACTCTGTATCCCAAGTTTGAATTTCATGATGTAGTTGGTCTTCCCATCATTTCTAGAGGATTTAGTAGAGATTTAATCCTATACTTTAGCACAGAGGACCCCAGGTGAAAAATCAGTAATACCTGATTGCATTTGGGTTCTGTGGACTCTGCAATGTCTTTGCCTTTTCTGCACAGCGTCTTATTAATTCAGCCTGCAAATTAGCAAATCTTTGCCATTCCCTAAGTAGTCGTTCTATCAAAATTTCATGTTTTTAGTAATTTTACTTAAGATTTGACAAGTTCTTGGGTTGGGACACATAAAACACGAACATCATTCTGCTAACATTTAATTTGGTTTCCAGACTCACCTTGGCCTCTCAAGAAACAATTTCCCTTCCTTGTGTCATACAGAGCCTTTCTGAAGCCTTGGCACCAAGAGGTCTCTGTGTTTCTCAGAGACTCAAGTGATCTCAGGAAGGTAATGTGTCTAATGGACCCCAGATCTCTTGCTAAAAGGAATTCTCCTAAGTTTTGTTAAGAAAAATGTGCTCCTTAAATGATATTTATTGGCCCTATATGAGATGGTGTTAAACACTTTGTGAACATTATTCTGTATAATCTTTGTAACAGTCTTTTGAAGGAAGCAGTATTATTCCATTTCTTAGGAGAGAAGTGAGACTCAGAGGCTATGAAATTTACTTAAGTGGTGTTTTTTGTTTGTTTGTTTTTTGTACTGTGGATAGAATTCACAACCTTATGCTTGCTAGGCAGGTGTGGTACCACTGAGCTAAATCCCTGGCCCTTAATTTACTTAAGAGTGGCTGGTGGATGGTGGAACTGAAGTTTGAGTCTAAGACTGCCATCATTAGCCTAGGTTTTTCATTATTATCATTAAGCCTCAACAGTATTCCTGGCACATGGTACTTGATATGTAAGATCTTTACTTTTATACTTTGTGCAGTACATGGTAGAATGTACAAGAAATGGGCCTAATAGGGCAAAGATCTCAGTGTTCTCAAAAGCAAGGGTACATGTACAATATGCACTTAAATGCATATTTTATATGTATTATTAGACATCTATGCATGTGTGAACAGTGAGCAACTTTCAATGATTTTAATCTAGTGTTGGCTATTGATTGGTTGTGTGAGGCTAACAAATAATACAACCTAATAATCATTATTTGAGAAAGATACTGTTTTGGTTTCTATCAGCTAGTGTAAACCACAGGTGTCCCATGTCTTTCAGAACTTGCTGTATTTGGCTATAAGGCACATGCCCTTGAAAAGTGGTTGCAAAAATGCAAAGTGTATACAGAGTGGTAAAGTGTGGTGCAGATGAGTCAATACTAGAATCCTGGGATGGTCTACACCGATATGGTGAAATTCCAGTCCAGTTTTATCTTAATCAGTACATGTTTGCGGTACATGAGTACATTTATCGTGGAGCTGGCACATGTACCTCATGACTGAATTCTTTAACAGTCCTCTTCCCCACCCCTCCTTCCATCTCTTGGTCTTCTTTCCATTTGCAGAAGTTCTATGCCCCCGGTTCCCTATTATCTATCTTTTACTTTGCTTTTTAAATTATTTATACTTTAGGTTTCTTCTATATAGAAACCATGCGATATTTAGGCTTGTGATTTATTTCATTATGGTTTCAAGGTGCATCCAGTTTCCTACAAAGGACTCCAATTTATCCAGTCATTTTGATGAAGGATCTGAGGATGCAGAGAGAGGCTGGAAGTACGTTCCAGATAGGAGGATGGTGGGAAGTGCACTGAACCTGGCGCCTGGAGACCACAGCGCCACAACAGCCCCTGGCCAGGAGAACAGCCTCTGGCGCCTGGAAACCACAGCAGAAAGGCGAGTTCCTTCATCAGCCCCAGTTCCGGCTCCAGGCGCGGGGGATGCCGGAATAGCGCGAGCCTGGCCAAGCTTCCGCTTCCGGTGCTTCAGGCTCAGGCTCCCTGAAGCTGCTCCTTGATGTGAGAAGGGGGCGGGTCCGCGAGGTGGCGCAGGCGCAGAGAGAGCTGCTGCAATGGCGCTGTCCTGCAACCTGAACAGGTACCTGCTGCTCATGGCGCAGGAGCACCTGGAATTCCGCCTGCCGGTGAGCGCAGCGATCTCCGCGGTGTCCCTGGGAGGGGACGGCGGGTAGGGGTGGCTTTGGGTCGAGCGATCTGCACTGCAGAGCGTGCAGCAATTCGGGATCTGTGCTGGTCCGGGTGGATATGTGACCCAGATCCTTGGGCTGGGGGTTGAGCTTGGCGGACGGCTGTGAGAGAGAAGTCCCCGATGCATTCCTTCGGCTTTGCTGAGCGCGTTCATTCTCTGCAAGTGTCCAGATTAGATTAGGAGATTCCAGCAGAGAGGATGGGCATCTCCAACAGGAGTGCACCTGAAATGCTTGCTCCAAGTGTCCAGGCGTGGCTCGGGAGGGGAGGGGTTGATGGTGAGAGCAGACGACGGAGAAGTCAGGAAAAGAGTTTGATCTGTACACAGAGGCGTGTGGAGTGTGTAATGTGGGTGGAGGACACAGCCTCTGCCCTCAAGCCGCTTTTACTGAGGGCTGAGCAGACTCAGAGGATGGGCATCTCCAACAGGAGTGCACCTGAAATGCTTGCTCCAAGTGTCCAGGCGTGGCTCGGGAGGGGAGGGGTTGATGGTGAGAGCAGACGACGGAGAAGTCAGGAAAAGAGTTTGATCTGTACACAGAGGCGTGTGGAGTGTGTAATGTGGGTGGAGGACACATCCTCTGCCCTCAAGCCGCTTTTACTGAGGGCTGAGCAGATCCCGGAGCACAGAGTTCGAGAATAAGTCCTGGAGGTGCAGTGGTGAAGATGCACAGGGAGATATGGAGGGGACCCTGTGGGTTGGAGATGCTGGTTTTTGGGAGGGTGACACTTCAGCTACAGGGTAAACTGACCCAACACTAGAATTACAAGCTGTTTGTTGTTGCTGGACCACAAGGTATGTCAGAGCAGTGAGGAGAAAACAGGAGAGGTAGGTGCGGCAGAAAGTAGAATCCCTGAATATCCCAGACTTGGAATTCATTGAAGACTTTTAAGCAAAGAAGTGGCAGAGTGTGTCTCCCCATCACTTTTTTTCCCCATAAAACTGATTATTTAATGGAAGCTATACAAAAAGAGGCAATAAACTGATAAAATTAAGGAAAGAATATTTAGAATGTTCCAAAGGATTTAAAGTAGGAGTAAGACACTGTACAAAATGCTGTGTGAGAAATAAAAGTTCTTAAACTCTAAGTAGAAATATAACTTTACACAGAATACAAAATACAACGACAAGTAGAAAAGAATGTGTACTCCAAAGTCTGAAAATTGTTAATAATGACCAAAGATTTAGGTTTAAATGTACACTTCCTGGGTATGAAAGCCACATTACTGTGCAGCAGTCTTCTCTGATTAACCGTGTGTAGTACCGTCTTCCACAAAGTTTGGCCATCTACCTGACTAACCTCATTTCTGAACTTTACACCATCGAGTTTGTCAGTTGACGCAGGTGGCTCAGGCCTAACGGTAGTTGTAATAAACTGAGGATGTACAGCAAGTTCCATAATCGTATCTGACACTGCCTTTCTGTGTTGAGTATCCAGTTTGGTCAGGATCATCAAACTAGTAAAAGGGGGCAGGGTCACATTTCTGAATAGCAAATACCAGCGCAAGGGCCACCAAGGATCTCTGTGCACCTGACAGCTGCTGCATTTCTCTCATCTCACCTTGTTTTCCTGTAAGTGACACCCCAGTTCCAACTCTGGTCAACTCACGGGACACTGCTCTGTGACCCAGAACCCCCCTCACTTTCACCACCGCCTTCTCCTTCATCCTGAGACGGATGCCCTCCACATCTCCTTTCTTCATCACCAAAGTAGCTTTCCCGCCAGGTACCAACTTCTGGAACACTTCACTGAAGTTCTTGGATACCTACTTGAAAGTTAACTGAATAGCTTCCCATTTTCAAAGTTCAAGTACGCTCAGCAGTTCCATGATCGATTTGTACCCCCATCAAGCTCTTCTTGTCGCTTTATTAACTTTTCTTTCTGCTCAGAGAAATTTACAAACTGATCCAGAGCTTTTTGTTAACATGGCTGTACTTCTTTAATTCTGCGTTGCACTGTTCCAGTTTTCGAAACAACTGTTTGAGGCTCAGTGTCTGGCACTTTTCAGATGCTTCCTGGGGAAGTGATCCAAGTTCTCGAATTCTCTTCATACATTCTTCTTTCTTCTTCAACAGCATGCCTTGTCGATTTGTCATCTTTTCCAGTTCTTTTGTCTCATGATTTATAGCATCCATGTGTTCTTTTTCCATAATTTCCCAATGCTCCATACCCTTTTGAAGATCCTTAATTGCGGCTTCTGTTTTATCAGTGGAATTGCCCAAATCTTCTTATCGTGCCATAGTATCTTTTACTCTTTTGTCAGTGGCTTCATGGTGTTGTGGCAGTGAGAACAGTACATGCTTCTGTCTCTCTCAGTTCGTTCAGTTCTTGTTTTGCTTGGTCCAAGCATTTTCTCAGATTCTCATTGAGGTGGGTCTCTACTTGAGTGATAATACCTTCCAATTTAATTCTTTGATTTAGCAGCTGTTTTCCTGCTGCAGTTGACAACTTTCATCATTCAGTGCATCTGCTCTTCTCTGATCTTGCAGACTAAGTTGAGAGAGCAGATCCATTCCCAGTTCTGCTTTCAGTGCTTCTCTGGTGGACTACCTAGCACACAAAAGTGCTTCCAAACTTTGTAAGCTGTGTCGCTGAAGCATAAAGGTTTTCTCAGACTACTGCCTCTTCTCTTTCAGCATCTTCATTTCTGACAATATGCTGTCTCTGAATGCTTTAAATTTCCTCTGCTGAGCCTCAGTCTGCTGCATTGGGTTCCTCAATGGATCAGTTTCATAAATAATCCTTTCAGTATTTCTGCGCGGATTTTCATTAGGCTTTGCTTCAAGCCCCCCGTGCTCTTCTGCTTTTTCTAACATCTTTTTGTAATTGAAGTCGAGACTTTCTCATGCTGTAATAACCTCCAGTAAGAGCACCCTGATGACTGACTTGGTCACCTTCCAAAGTAATGCAGTCCACCGTGAGAGTAGGGGCCCGTTGGGTTGAAACCTCTATGCTACGACAAATTCGTGTTTTTCCAAAGACATGCTTGGAAGCTTTGTCAAATCTGGGATTGTGTCTCAATTTACAAATCATCGGGATAGCATCATTGGGTTTTGGGATAGGCTGTGTCCCTGACATCTAACTTGTTAAGAGGCAGAAAAGTGACCTCTCCAGGAAGATTCATTTTATTAAACTCCATTAAAATCTTAGTGCTGGCTTCATCTGAATCAACAATGTGATAAAATAACCTGTTCCCAGCAGCGACTTGGCACGCAGTGTAGAAGTGGATGCACATTCACAGTTTCTCATCACAGTGCCACGATAGCTGTTTTGGACAGCCTGGTTTATTCCTTTTCGATGAAAGTGGTCTAGTGCTTGTCTATTCCATGTAAAATAGCCTTTCCTGTTGCCGCTCTAAGAAGTTGCTGCTGCTTCTCAAGATCTTCTCTTTTAGCAGCAGGTGCTCGCTGCTTTGCATGCTCTTCTCTCCACAGGTGATTTCTTGCACTTTGTAAATCATCTTTCTTATTTTTCACTTCCTGGTGTTTTCTGTTCAGTTCTTCTGCTCGAGCTTTGACCTCATTAAGATCCTGATCCAGTTTATTATATTGCTCCAAATTTTTCTCCTTATTTGCCTCCGTGTCTTCCAAATCCTTATGTTTGGCCACAGTCTGTCTTTTCTTGTCATTTCTAGCCTGATCAAAGACTTGAGTTCTTTTTTAATCCATTTATCCCTGTCTTCTTTTGATGTAAACTGGCTTCCATGACCCTGCGTTGCATAAAGATCTGTTCTTTCCTGGGTAGCTTGAGCCAGTCTAGCAGCTCCTCACTCTTCTTTTTCTTTTACACTGTTGAATTTAGGTTCTCTTCCTGCCAGTTCCTCCGGCTTTTCTTCAATTTTTTCAAGCAGCTTCTGCCTCTCCTTCAGTAAACGTTTCCTTTGTTCACCGTTGCCTACCAACTCATCTTGTGAATCCTTGGCTTTAAGCTCCAACTTGGTTCTCTGCTTAATTTGCTCTTGTCTTCCAGCACTGAACTGTTCTTTTTCTTATTTCATTGCAGAAATCTTTGTTTTTAATTTTCTAACTTGGCAGCCAATGCGCTCCATCTTATCTCTTGCATCTTACTGGGCATCTCTTAGCTGTCTGGATTTTTCTCCACTAGTTTCTCACTTAGCAGAAAGCTCATCAAGTTTAGCACAAGTCTCATTGAGTTCCTGATTATAAATGGTGTATTCCAGGGCTCATCTCATCCTATCCACCTCTGATACTGAGCCAGCTCTTCCTTTTCTTCCTCTAATGTACGTAATCTGTCTTCAATGTATTTCAACAACTTGTTGGTTTTTTTCACATTTGCCCTCTGTTTCTTTCATTAAAGAGGTGCATTCTTTTTTCATTCATCATATACTCTAGTATCAGCTATTTCTCTTAATAGCTTTAGTCTCTGAGAATCTGGTGCTGTTGTCATTTGATTGATCTTTCTTTGTTTAACAATATGATAAGGATTGCTTCGAGAAAAACCAGTACTTTAAAAATTTTTTTTAGTACCAGGGATCAAACTCGGGACCTTGCACTTGCAGGGCAGGCGGCGGAACCACTGAGCTAAATCCCAGGCAAAACCGGCACTTTCGAGGAGGTTCATCACATCATTTTTTGTGACCATCTTCTTATTTAAGAAGTACTGATCTGTTTTGGCAAATCTTTGAAGTGAAACTTCCTCTTTATCAATTGATAGCTGTCTGAATTGTGAAAAATAATTTCCAAAAAAGCAGAAATAACACTAGGACCATTAACCTCATGCAGTAAAGCCAATCACTGTTCTGGATGAAGGTGAGTAAACTCATCATTGAGAACAAACTGAATTGCATAAAAAAAGTTACTTTTTTCTGATCCATTTCTGCCCACTATAATATTATGTTTTGAACTGAAGGGATCTACAATTGTCTGATCTCTGTAACTTCAAAAACCCTGTATAGTCACCTATTTGATATGCAT